TTTTTAGTGAAATTTAATATCCTTTCTATGTTTAGATTGCGGTACTCCGTATAAATTTGATTTAATTACAAAAATCCTGTTTGAACAAAGGACTCTTTGATTAACACCTTTAAGATCGAGTTTTAGAATCCTTGTCGAAAATGAAATAATTGAACAATGAAAAGAGAAAGAAAATTAACTAAACTTGACGAACTGTTAATGAGGAAAAAACTACAGAATCACTGTTTGATGGCTGAAGAAAACGGATATGCGGTGAAAGAGGGCTATTAGAAATATCTCTAAGCTTCTTCTGTTAATCAAACTGGTTTTGATGATTTTAATTCAGCCATCTACAGTAGTGAGTAGTAAAAGTTTGATAACGAGTTTTTTATTTCCTTACATAAATATTATTTGCGATTTTTCTGACTTATTTTTAAACAAAAATTTCAAAAATGTATACTATGGGCAGTGATTAATGACCACCCTTCTCATGTATTATGTTTTCTCCATTAAATTATTTCATTCTTTACATGTCTGTAAATAATTTCGTTCACAAAATTATTAACCACCTTGTGACCGTACTACTAGGGTTTTATGTATACGTTTATTTTTATAAGTTTTTGGCTTTGTAAATAAAATAAAATTAAGAATTAAATATGGGATTCAATGGAACAGTGACCTTTATTCTAAATGTTAATATACTTTTTGGAAATAGAATTATCATCTCGAGTTTACGCGGATTTCTCCATTCTCCGCACTTTTGCCCTCTCCGTTATCACGTTACCATGGTATCGGAAAATCTTAGTTTTCTCCCACTGCAGTACTTTTCAATTAGAAGTTGTAATGTACTGGAGTGGGGAAAAAATTAAGCAGAGGCCGCAGCGAAGAGAAGAAAAGAGTGAAGAGGGGAGATATCACGTGACTTTGAGACGCTTACTTACAAAGAGTCTTACAAGGAAACTAAAGTACTCGTATACTTCTTATGTGTGTATTCTAATAGTGTATGGTGTTGTGTATGAAGATCTTGACAAGAAGGAGGAGAAAGTCGTGAGAAATAATATCAACTTTCGCACTATTGCAACACAAACAGAAGCAAAACATTTCACTGTAAGTTCTAACTTATTCCTTAAGTGCTAATACGTTCCGTTCTAAATATACTAATGCTAAAATGAAGTAAAAAATATATAAAGTCCTATGCACATAAGAGATAGCATACTAATATTTAAACGATGAAAAAACAAAAACGCTGTCAAAATCTATCGACCCACTACTGAGGAAGGCGGTGCTGAAAGCCTGCATGATTATTTTTCAAATTCGGGTAATCGTCCATTTCGTTACGATTAACCAGTGGTCGGAAGTAGCGCACTATCAGTAGTAGAAATTCTGTAGTCGCTGCTTTTTTTTGTAGTTTGTAGTCTGCTACTTTTTTTAAAAAGGTAGTGTCGTGATCCAAAAAATAAACAGTAGCGATTCCTGGCAACTATTTTTAATGTTAATTTAGTAAAGGAACATGACAATTAATTTTTCGAATTTGATGGGCACGAACTTTCCGTCAATGAATGCAATGACCCTCTGTGGCTGAGCGTTCACAGGAATCAAGTATTTAAAATCACGTATAACTAATATTTAAGCCGACCATTAATGAATAAATAGATAATGAATCACTTGGGTTCACATTCGAATGTACACTCGTGAAACATTTATGTTATTTCAAAAGGAGAGAACGTATTTTCGATGTTGTACTTGATTTCTTGGAGGAAATATAAAAGCATTCATAAAAATTGTAAGTATTTGATGATTTCGCATTTCTTCAATTAAATACTCGCTGTCGAGAAAGACATAGAAAGTTAACTGAACAAATTCGAAAAAAAATGTTTTGAAATAACAAGCTGACTCATGTAAATATAAATAAATATTTCTTAATTATTCCTTTATTTTTAATTTAATCCTATATTTTTCATTCAGAATAATTTTGAACATAGATGTAAATTAAGTTCTCCAACGAATTTCGTATCCTTAAAATAGTGATTACTAAGTAGTTTGTAGTCACTCAGTTTAAAAAAAAAAGTAATTGTGGTTGTAGTTAACTATATTTGTAACAAAATAGTTGTAGTTGTAGCAAACTACAAAAATAATGAAGTTTTTCCCACCACCGCGATTAGCAAATTTATAAAACTAAAATGATTGTATATTTTTTTTAACAAAATTTTCTATGTTTTTTTGGAAAATATCGACTTTTAAATAAATTTAAAAAAAACGATGATGAATGAGAAGCAACCTCGGTGTGCGGAATATTTTTTAAAAAGAGATTTTCCTAGGATCAGAAGGATGGGATTGATCCATCTCTTTCACCATCGATGAAATTCGGAGATACTGCATCACGTGTACAAATAGCAACAGCTTACAAAGAATGTGAGGTACTATCTTTAAAAATACACCTATTTCACAACTTATATCTTTTTTCAGGTAAATATCCTTCCTTATCCTGAGACGTCAACTATCTTTAAGCAAATGAAAAATATTTTGCACTCATTTATCCTGACATAGTTCTGCATAGAATATAACTTTTTAGGATTATTAATAATTTTTTAAAAATTATTACTCGATTCAATCATCATCAATAGCTCAACAGTCCTGGATGGACCCTGGCGTTCTCCAGAAGACAAGACCAGTCCTTCCTTCTGCGGGCCATAGCCATCTAATCTCTGGTGTTACCTCAGACCTTTGGTTTTAAGTAACGGGGTTATAAGTAGCGAAACTATTGTAGTCGTTACTTTTTTCCGTGGTTTTCGGTGTAGTACGCTACTTTGTAAAAAAAGTAGTTTATTGAGTAGTGTGATGCAAAAATAAAAGTAGTTTGTAGCGATTCCTGACAACTACTTTTTATGTTAGTTAAATGAAGAAACCAAGTTCAAACTCAAAACAACTTTCGAATCTGATGGGTGCAATTCCTTCGCGGCCCCGTCAACGTAAGCAATGAGAATGCCTCTGTGGTAGAGCGTTAATAAGATCTACGCCTGATGCTCGGAATAATAGGTGTGAAATCGGTCGAGTTGTTCGTGAGATATCGAATTTCAAATATCTGACTTTTTTAAAATTCGATTTCACAGGAACTATCAACTATAAAGTACATTTTAGTGTCTGATGTCGTAACTTAAAGCAGGGCTCGAAAAACCTCCCGTCCTCGGCGGTCAAAAATTCCCCGCGGACAACAAATTACTCGAATCCAGCGTCCGCGCGGACCGTCATTTTCCCGTTAATGTTCGTGATACATTTTCAATTTTTGTTATCTTACAAGAGTCTAGCGCCTCACTTCTAAAATGACCCTCTAATCTAGAAATTCAGCAACATACTGCGCATGGTGGAATTGATGTTTTCTCTGTCTGGGAGTACTGCAGCGGTTGAAAGGGGCTTTTCAGCAATGAACTTACAAAAAAACACATTACTTACTGGTCTTAAACAAGAAGCGTTAAACGCATTTATGAACATCTACCTAAATGGAAAACCTCTTTCAGATTTCTGTGCAGAAACCTCTGTAAATCATTGGCTTGATTGTGGAACTGGCAAACGTCATATTTGATTCATTTAAAAAACGCAGTACCATCGGATAAATTGACATGATAATTGACAGATAACTTAACCTTTGTTATTTAAATTATTTCATCAAAGAAATAAATTATTTCATAATAGAAATACTAGGTTTTACTATTAGTAACCTAGTATTTCTTTTATTACTGTATAATGTAATCCTAGTATTTGTAATCCTAGTAACTACTAATTCATTGTGCAATTTATATAAATGTTTGTAATAAATAAGAGAAAATTATATTTTTATTTATTTAGAAGCGACGGGTTAGTTTCAAAGGAGGACGGGTACATTGTTGGACAAGCCGTCCTCGGGGACGGGTAAAATTTCTGAGTTTTTTCGAGCCCTGACTTAAAGTATAGTCTGCATTAATTATTTGCATATTTGCGATCATCCTGTTATTTGCGCAACTGTTATTTCCCTTCTATTTCGAGTAAGCCAAGCCCGTCAATCATCAATTCTCTTCAATGACTCATTCTATATTATTTCACAAAGATTTCAATTCTTTCACTACTGGCGATCGCAACGCTCGAATACGCCATCTGGGGAGAGACCGGTTTCATGCCTTTGGCCCTTCTCCCTTTCCCTCTCCTCCTCTTTTCACTTGTACAGGAAATGTACTACGATATTTTCCCTTTTCTTAATATTTTTCCTTTTTATTTAATAAAAATATTTTTTGAAAGTTCCGTGATGCTTTTCTTTAGAACTATGTTTAATGTAGTTTTCAGTTCCATATAGTTTTCCAACTTAAAAAGATTTAAATCTATATGAAAATCAAGAGAGAAACTACTTCCTTCCTCTATGATTCTCCACACGTTAATGGGGAAAGCATGCGAAGTGTTGCCATAGGTGGCGAGTTCTGCTCTACGCCACCTGCAGCCCATTTCGATCGCCAATGTAGGTTTTACTTAACACAAAGACAGGCATGAAGCCATGTAGAACATAAACAAACTAATCGATGTTGCCAGATACACAAAGCAAAACTATATCACGGTAACAATGAAATGCATAAGCAAATAATAACTCTAAGTAAAAGACGTAGACGAAAAAGAATTATATTTCAACAAATTTGGTGTGCGATACGGCTCTACATTTAATTAACTTCACGTTAATTAACATTCTAACTTATGTGGAGAAACTCAGCTCAACTCTAATGCACCTTTTTGCTTATAAGCGATCAGCTGGCACTGACGTCATAGTCATAGGTCACATGTGTTGTGTATTGTGATCTTCTTCTTAAAGTGCAAGTACCCACCATACACCACCATTGTCATTTTTATAAATGGCATAAGTGATGCTTCTAAAATATGTCAAGAACTAGACGAATTCACAACGCCATCTGCGTTTCATAAGAAAATTTAGAAAAACCGACGAATTTGAGCATAAAAATTGAACTAAAAAATAAAAACATTGATTTTAAATTTTTTAGGAGAAAAGTAAGAAAGAAGAGACGGTCATACGGAGAGGAGACATCAATGCACTTTTCAAGGGTGCGGGAAGAAGGAATATTACTGTAAGTACATTCATTCAATTGCACGTTGTTTAACCCTTTGCTAAGTATGATGATGTCCGCCGTTCCGGTTCACCTGTTATACCATCCGTAAGCAAACTATTAATAGACTTCGATGACGGGAAATTATTGATGTTTTTTTAACATAGTGAAAATGGTATTTTAAATAGATTTACTTGGTGTTTTTTGTGAATAAATTAGATCTCCAATTAACTAAACCCGATTACCAGTAATCTTTTCTACTTTTCTCATCAGACTCAGTTTATAATTTTACGCATATTTTATTCTTGTACAGTTGAAGTAGCATAACTAATCGCGGCTTTTACGATCATGAACTATGTATTCAATCTAATCTAATCAGCTTTTTTATTTTTTCCTGTCTGTCTTGTTGGCTTAACCTTTATAACTCCTGCACGGTTCAAAATGACCCAAATTTATAATAAAATTGGGAAAATAGCTGATAAGGGTTAATGGGTAATAAATGTTTCCTTTCCCTCTCTTCACAGCCATTTGAAGTTCACCAGGTCGTCTTTTTTAATAACCGTCGTTGAACAGCAGACCCAATGTTTTGGGTTCGCGACTACTAATGTTCAATTCCGTAGCCTCGTCATTTTAAATCCAATCTAGAAGACAATTAACTCCGGAATCAAGTATTGGAAAAAATTTGCGAGGAGGACTTTTTGAGGGAACTCACCCGCATTTGCGTTACATGGAGTGAAAAATCACGAAAATCTCCAACGGTTAGTCTGACGGCAAGGATACTCTAACTCATGATTCGTCTACCACTGAGTAATATTTTACGTCAGCACTGTAGGCAGTGCAAGCCGAACCCGGGTCACCTCATTGGAAGGCGAGCGCTCTGTCCGTTGAGCCACCATGGCTCAGGTGGTCTTTTTAGTGTGTTCCTCAACCACCACCTTTTATACATTTTTTAGCAAACTTTATCAGGCATGAAGCCAAAAAAGAAACACGTTAAAGGTCGCAAGTTAATATTTAACCAACAAACAAAAAAGACACTATGAAAATCCAATGACGGGGGAAAAACAGCACTGAAATATTAAAACCTGGTTGACTGTGGGAAGAAACGGAGAGACATTTGGAAAGCGATTATTAGAAACACATTTCTATTTCATCGGAAAATCATAACTGGTTTTAATATTTTTCATTCCACCTTTCTCTATAGTGATTTCGGTAGCCTTTTCGTTCTTCATTTAAATATTAACTTGTAATTTTAGTAATAAGCATTTTGGACGATGCGTGTAGGATACTTCGTGCAAAAAGCCTTTCCGCTACAGCTCGTTGTGGAAGTTTATGAATGGTTGATTGAATTTTAACACTAACAAGCTTTCTGAAACCGGAAGAAATTTAGAAAACTTCCGGTGTATCCCTCCGCTTATGTTATGCTTACGAGGCGATAAGTGAACAGGCTTAATATTCTAGGAAGTTTTATTATTGTGATTTGTGCTTAAATTTTCGCGTCATTTTATCATTCAAAAGACTTTCCTGTCACTCATAAATTTTAACTGCTTGTGAGCCTAAAACAAATTGAAGATAATTAATATCACTACATAAATAAAGTGTAAGGTTTACCATCTTTTAAGTGTTATCCCTTATTTGAATAAATTTGTGTAAAATATCACCGTTGGCTATTTTTTGGGTTGCATCTTGCGGAGTCTTCCAAATTCTTATGTTGTTTGTTCGTTGAATTTCAAAAAACGTGATTTATTGTAAATAACGCAAGTATAATAAAATTTGAGGTATTTCAAGATTAGATATAAAAATCAGTCGCAAATAGTAACCCGGAAGTCTTACGAATTTTAACACACGGTCTACCATCCATAGAGATTGTAGGATCCACAACTTTGAGAAAATGGTGGTTATGTGTGAGCACTGGCCTTCTTTATTTTTTGTTACCCAAACCCATTGATCTGAAGTTGGGTGGGCTTCATAGAACCCCAGTTATCTACCATGACAGTTCAGTGCCGTCATTCGTGTAAAATAATTATCAGTTTAACTTAAATGATTCCCTTTATCAAAATGCAATAAATTGGAAAATCAACCATTCAAAACGTTTAAGCTTTTTGAACCATAGTAACCATGCCTTAAAATACAGTAGCATAAGCTTGCATTGCTGTACTTTTAAAAGTTGGTGATTACTAAATTGTTTGAAATATTGAATAATTATACAATCCACAGCTTCAGGATAGCTACAGTCTCAGGCTGTTTGAGCGGATGCTGGACCAAAATATGTCAGGCTCTAATCTAGGTAATTACTTCTCTTATTTGGTGTCACATACTTCATTTCTGCTCAAATAAATGAGGGAATATAACAAGAAAAAAAAATTTCGAAATTTAACTTAAATAGCAACATGAAAGTTTAAAAACTGCGTTTTTCATGTACTAGGTAGGAAGAGGAAAATAATTATCATTTTTACAAAATAGAAAGGTATGTACTAGATAGAAAGATAAGTTTAGATAAGAAGAAGAAATAATTTCCATTTTTACTGGATAATAAGATATGTATTTGAACTAAATAGAAAGATATGTACTAGATAGAAAGATTACTAGATAGGAAGAAGAAAATAATATCATTTTTGTCTAAGCTGAAGCATAGAAAAAAAGCGAATCATTTTCGAAAGGGGAAAGATGGTAATACGCATTAAAGTTTTAGTTTCCTGGTAAATTTATTCATTATTTCCCCCTTAATTATCTCTTTCATAATTAATTTGAAAATCGTAGTTTTTAATATTTTATTTTCTTTATTTTGCTTGTTATTTGTCTTAATTGGGACGAAATTTTAATTTGCGGGGAAAGGGAGACATATTTTGCTCTCAGTATTTCGGAAATATTTGTAGTTTTTATTAGCGTCAGGCACATTGAGTTGAAATTGGATCATTCTAGCTTGTCAGAAGAAAATGGTTGAAATTTTCGATGAACTATTTGGTGATAAATTCTGCAATTTAGAAAAAAACCGAAACTTGTATTATTTTACAATACAAAGCTCCTGTAAAAATTTAAGAATCCTAGTTAGCCTGAAAGTGGTCGGAATTTTGAAAGTAAGATTTCACCCTTTTAGATCCGAATAGTACAGAAAAATTAGACTTCTTCTACGGAAAAAATTATATCCAAGATGTTTTCTATGGAGGGTTCTGTTATCCTCTTATAAAAATTAATTTTTAAAACTCCTTTACATTTCTCTGTACAGTTCCTCTACTTTTTTTATTATTTTTTTTATAACCGTCGTTGAACAACCGACCCAATTTTTTGGGTTTATGACAACTAATTAATAAGTAACTTATACGGAAACACTCCGAAAGTTCGAAGTGAACGCAACAGTTCAATCACATAAGCAAACATATTCAAAATTTTCAAATTAGGGTTTTAACAAATTGGTAGAATGTGTAATATTAAATCCAGAAAACAGCGTTACTTAGAAATGAACTAAATACAAGCAAACATTATAAAGAAAATAAACAGTTATCAACAATTTACGACAACTAATGTTCAACTCCGAAGCCTTGTCATTTTGAACCCAATCCAGAAGACAAGGGAACTCCTGAATCAAGTATCGGGAGTAATTTGCCCTCCGGAAGGACTTTCTGTTGTAACTAACCGACATTTGCGTTACATGGAAAGGAAAACCTCCCACAATTGGCCCAATGGCAAAGAGATTCTAACCCATGATCCGTCTACCATTTTGTCACCCTGAATCAATTGAGACCAATCCTGAGACGATAGAACTAGAAGTTTAAAACGTTGTATTCTTGCACTCATTTATATCTGAACAAGTGTGGCGTTGATAATATGAAAACTTCATTTCCTTCAAAAAATAGGAATCCATTAATAAAAGTTGACACGTTTCGAAAAATAAATGCCCCGTTTAGGCGTACTCGACACGTTCGTTCGAAAATAGGCGCTTATTCTCGTGACTCGTCTGACGGGAATGTAGAAAATAAAAGAGATTTGAAACAGAAAACACGAAGTTATCTACAAAAAGTGAAAAATTAATAAATGTGAAGAAAAAAAACTAGAAAAGCTGCTGTGGCAGAGAGAGAGAGAGAGACAGAAGAAGGCATTTCCACCAGCATTGAGAGGTGGTGAGGAATACTTGTCTTTAAAGAACGGCATCGACATTCACATGAATAAAGCAAAAGCTCGAAACATGTGGACTTTTATTACCATCATCATGTCTTCTGAAGCAAAGGAATCTTTCAAATATCTTTTAGTTTTTGAGGGATTATTCTTATCTGTTAAAATGAGGCAGTGTTTCATATTCATTTCTTTTTTTACTCCGAATCAAATGAGATTATACACGAGTCAATGAAGCGAATAACTCAAAAATAATGTGTAAAGCACGATAGGATATGTAAAAAATGTACTTCGTTTTAATTTATGTACTCTTTTTACATTGTTATTTAAGAGCTACAGAAACATGTAAGGTTGCTATATTTCACATTTAATTTTTCATACTAAATTGAACGAGACAAACCAGGAATTAATTATTATTTGTAAAAAAAAGTACAAATTTGTACTTGCACTAATTCACGCATCTAGCATTGCTATAAGGACAAGTAAAGTATCGTTTTCTATGCATTGTTTCTTCAAAAGAAAATGTCAAAAATAGTATATATTTTATATATACATATAAACGCTTACAATTTTTAAACTATTCGTTTTATTGATTCGTGTAGCCACCACGGTTCTTCCGTAAATATTTTACTTTATAACTCTCGTTGAACAGCAAACCCAATTTTGGGTTTACGACTACTAATGTTCAACTCTGTAACCTTGTAACTTTGAACTCAATCCAGAAGACAAGGGAGTTCCTGAATCAAGCATTGGGGGGAAATTTGTCTTCGTGGAGGACTTTCTGATGAAACTGACCCGCATTTACGTTACATGGAGAGGAAAACACCGAAAACCTCCCATGGTTAGCCTGATGGCATGGGATTTCTAACCTATGGTTCTTCTACCACGGAGGATACATCACTGTGGTTGGTGCGAGCCGGTTGCGGAATTCGAATGAACCAAATATTGCCGGGATTCGAATCTGGTTCACTTCATCGGAAGGAGAGCGCTCTTTCCCCTGATCCACCACAGCTCTTTCGTAAATATTCCTTTTTCCCCTCATCTCCTGTATATTCCAACTTTTTGTCCCCGAACAATGGAAATGTAGGGCCGGGATAGGCACTGGGCCCATGTCCAAGAGATCGTGGGTTCGATCCCTTCCGGCCGAAGACTCCTCATGTAGTAAATGGTGACTGATGCACGATAAATCTGTCAAGTCACAAAGTCCTCCATGTTCCCATATCAAATCATACATTTGGGGGTACGGATCCAGGAGTTTCCTTGTCTTCTGGATTGGTTGACAATGACAAGGCTACGGAGTTGAACATTGGTCGTCGAAAACACAAAGTTGGGTCGAGTGTTCAACAGCGGTTATAAAATAAAAAGCAATGGAAATGGAGAAAGTGTGGAAATCGCCTATCCAACTCACAAAGATCTTTTTTTCATCTTCTTTTAGATTTCATGTATTATGAGTGTCCTAAAGATGAGTTCAAACCGAATTTCGGATCACTCTTACCTCTGTGGAATCTGTCTAATCGCGAAACAAAAAGAATGCTAGTGAGTAGCTTATGTTGGAACAATCACTACCCAGACCTCTTTGCTGTGGGATTCAGAGACAATGGAGAGCAATTAGTGGATGGTAAAATTATTTATTATCATCATCACATCCGAGCTATGAACTGACTACAACAAAATGCTTCTAATTGAGGTTTTTCAAATTTTAATGTACCGATCTTATTCTAATATTGCCTACAAAGTGCAGCCTTTAAGAGGACGTAGAAAAAAACGTGGCAAATGGATTCTTTATTTACAAAAGTAATTTTTAAGTATGGGGAGAGAGAAAAAGTGAGTTCAGGTTAATCTAGAGTAAATTATAAAGACAAGAAAGAATAACTTATGACAGCATAACTGCCATCATTTGTTTGAATTTCTTAGTTTTTGAAACTTCATGGTTTATCTGAATTCACTTTCTTCTATTTTGATTTATGGAGAAAACTTACTTGAAATTTTACGTACGGAAGATAACGTGAATTTGCAAAACTTTCTGTTTATTTCTGTTCTCTGCAATGTTAAGTACTTCTTCTTTTAAAACACATTTTTTATCATTTCATTTTTTTTTAAAAAAAGGGGTGTTGTACAAGGAACAGTCTTTATTCGGAGACCATTTTGTGCAACTCGTGATTCTGTAATATAACGGGTTACATAAATCTCAGAAATTCTTTTTTTTTTTTTGGCATATTAAATAATTTTTTCCCCTTCAAAAAACTGTGCTGTATTCTATATATATATATATATATATATANAGTAGCGAGCGAAGCGATCTTGGTTTGCGAAGCAAACCATATAAGATTGCGTAGCAATTTTCGGGGGTTGGCGAGCGTTAGCGAGCAGGGGGCGCAGCCCACTAGCAATATTTTAAAATCATATTAAAGAATGTAGTTTTACATGCCAAAATACAAAATTTGAGCAAAATCGGTCAAAGAGTTCATGAGAAATTAAATTTTAAAAATAGGACTTTTGCACATTTTTTTTCTCAGAAACTATTTTGCCTACTTCGCTCAAATTTTGTATTTTACCACTTAAAATGACATTCTTTAAAATGATATGCAAAAAAATGTATACTTTACCATATCAACTTTTTTCGACCAATATGAAATAAAGTAATAAAAAATAATAAATACTCACTAAAATTTATTTTTTGCATGGAGCTATCTTCGGAAAAGCAAATTTTATAATTGTGTGCAAACATTTTTCAATTCGCTTAAGAATTTCTCGAGATATGGGAAAAATACGCAGAAATTAAGATTAAGATGAAAGGGGTTCAAATTTTGGTCCACTTTCCTGACCAAACTATGATTAGCATATTTCCCAGACTGAGCCTGCCCCGCCCCCTCCCCATTTTGGGGGTCAGAAATCTGAATCCATCGAAAAAAATATATTTAATATTCGTCTGCTCTAATTAATCAGCCTATTTGAGGTCACCACCTCAAACCATTCGAGTGAGACCTAGAAAGTGAAGATCCGATCATTAGATCAAAAATTATTCGGGGTGGTCCGTATTTTATTTTGCGCACGTTACTTTCTAAGTAGAAGTTACTCTCAAGGAAAATTAAATATTTTTGTTCAATATTTAGTCAAAAATATAAAGTACGCAAAATTAATAATATTGGTTGATTTGCTTTCAAAAAATCGTGTCCCCCGACATGATTTAATTAGAAAAAAAAATTCTAATTTCTCTAATTTAGTCTTGTAATTCTGTACCCAATCCAGAAGACAAGGGAACTTCAGAATTGAGAGAAATGCGCTTTTATGGAAAATTTTTTGATGCGTTCTAACCCGCACGTGCTTCACATGAAGAGGACAACCACGAGAACCTTCCACGGTTAGTCTGGTGGCAGTGCGACTCTAACCCATGATCTGTCTACCACTGAAGATATTTCAAGTCAGCACTGTGGTCGGTGCAAGCCAGATGCAGAATTCGTATCTACCAGCCATTGCTAGGATTCGAACCCAGTTCACCTCATTCAAAAGAGAGAGTTCTATATCCCTTGAGCCATCACGGCTCTGTCTGCTGCTATAGTAATAAGAGAAAGAATATTTCTATTGGGAGTGCATTGAAGAAAGGAAGGCGTTGATTGGCCGAATTGTGTCAGTCACAGCGACCTGTGCCAAGATCATTACAAAACTATAGTTCGCTCACCAGGAGTTGGCACTTGGCTCCACCTCCTCGTACCCAGAGTTCATTTTAGCGCGGGAGTAAGAGGAGAAACATTTCTACGTTTGAAATTGTGACAACGCTTAATGCGTGCCAAACGCAAACAGTGAATTCTTTTTCAGTCACTTACTTCGCTTTATCACCTGCTATTATACTTTTCGTTACTCTAGCTAATTAAATATATTTTAAATTTAAAAACTGCTGTTTTCCCAGCAAATTGTCTCAAAGAGAACAAACTATTCACTCAAAGGAGAGAAATATCATCCAATTTATGAAATATTTAATGTTAAAAAAATGCACATAAAGACTGCGAAAAAAAATTTTTTGTCATAATGATCGCCAAATAGCAACCTTGTTCAGGATTGTTCACATCCTTCTTCCACATATAGCGAAATAGTATCGTTGGATACCGCGTGATGAAGGCGAAGTCAAGTGCCAACTCCTGGTGAACGAACTATATTCACTCCACACCGAAGTGACTTACTCTCGTAACCATAGTACCCGCCACCACGCGAAACTATGTCTTGAAGAGTTCTCCTGGAAGCAGCACAATATGTTGTGTATTACAGGTATTTAATCTCATCCTTCAACTTTCAAACCAGTTATTGAGATGAATCAAAAAACACTGGTCACAAGCATTTTCCATTCCATCAGGCAATCAAACTTGTTTTGATGTTTGTTAACAATTGCCCTTCCAATATTATTGTAAGTTAAAACACTTAATGTGTCATTTTACTCAAAAGCTAAGATGCATATTTATTTAAGTTTTTGTGAATAACTAAATTTTACAGTGAAACAGATTTTTTTGAAAACTTTTCTCAGAGATGGAGGAAAGAGGATTGGTGTATGTTTACAGTTTAAAGGGACCTTCTTTTCCGGAACGAATCGTTAGGTGCGCATCCGGAGTCTGCAGTGTACTATTCCACACATCTTTACCTCAAATCGTGATCGTAGCTCTGACTAGTGGTGATCTAGAACTCTACGACCTTTCGAAAACCCCAATTGCTGTGAGAGAGTCTAAGTTTGGCACGCATTTTCACGAGGATACACTCTGTGAAGTATGTTTTCCTTTGGTATTTTATTTTTGTACGTTGTCCTTTTATTACAGTAAAAGCCCTGTAAGTTGACCACTTGCATTACATCAATTTGAAATTTTGACTAGCTGGAGCACTTATATTTTGATTGGAGATTTCAACCTGCTAACCCTTCTAAGAACACAAGTTTTGGGACCGTTACAAGTAAAATTTTGCATTAAAAGGAATTTATCGTCAAGCGTAGTTTCGATCCCTTTTTGAATCTTTAGATTTCTCTCATTTTAACTGAAATTCTGAGCCTGATGACAAAACAAACTACTATTATTGTTTATAATTGCCTCAAATTGCATTTCCCTACTTAGCATGCTGTTTTTTATTATGAAAAAAAAGGAAATGGACTGTAAAACATATTCATCTGTAAAGTTATAAGTTACGTTTTCCTTCAGGTCCAGTGGTTACCCGATAAACTTCCGCAGAAACTGTGTTCGATATCCAAAGATGGAACCATTATCAATTGGCTGATTTTCATGGTATGAACTCTTTTTCTCTCTCCCTCTCTCTCTTTTTTAAAAAAAAAGTCCTTCTGTATTTTCTACATTGTTGCAATAGTTTAATATTTTAATCACAATACCCAAAATGTATAAAAACTGTTAAATGTCTCGCTCGAAAAGAACACATCGTCTCAAATATGTCAAAACCACTGATCAAATATTTTCCAAGGATGCATTCTAAACGCGACCCCCTTTCCCAAATTAGGTCCCACCACTCAAAAGTAGCTCTATTTCCGGGGAGTGGGGAAGGTAATCGAGTTTGATGTTGTTATATAGGTTCTTTTTAAGAAAATTAAAAAAAAAGCAAGTCTCTGTATATGATTTCGATCTAAGATGTATTAGGGGGTATTTATACTTGTATTTTAAATTATTTCTAAGCGATCTTCATTGGCAGTTACAGCGTCACCTATGAACTAATGAACAACAACATGTATTCGCGATCCCAACTCTCGAATACGCCCTCTGGGGAGAAGACTGGTACCATGTTCTGACCCTCCTCCTTTACTTCTCTTCCTGTTCTCAGTTGCATAGGAATGTACTTCGATATTTTCCACTTTATTATTTTTCGTATGTGCTTGTCAAAAATATTTTTCAAAATTTCCACGGCGTTTCTCTTCAACGTAGTTTTCGGTTCCATATAGTTTCTAAACTTAAAATTTTGTAATCTATTTAAAAATGCAGACAGAAAGTAACGTACTCCCTTCTCCTATGACTCTCCACACGCTAATGGTGGAAGCATGTGAAGTGTTGCCATAGGCAGAAAGCTCTGCTATACGCCATCTGTATCATATTTCGATAGCCAATATCAAATTTGGGTACTCTTTCTGGAAAATCCATAAATACAATAAAAAATTAGAGTTCATACATAAGATTTGAAATTTGTCCCCACCCCTTACCTGGCAGCAGATCCTATACGGAATGAGACACATGCAGTTGTCAATAGAATACCTGAGCAAGTGACGTAGTGTGGGTATCTCGATCCTGAATGGTTGTTCAAACAAGGCATTTGTTTGCGTTATCAACTGTTCGTTTCATTCTATTTCGAGTAAGCCAAGCACGTCAAGTATCCATTCTCTTAATTGACACGTTCTAATTTCTTTCAGAAAGATTCTTTTACTGAGATTTCAATTGCTTCAATATATTTCTTACTAAATACAAAGCAAGGCACAGGGCCATGTAGAACATAAACAAACTAATTATGCATCGAAGTTACCTGGTACACAAAACAAAAATATATCACCGTTACAATGAAATACATAAAAAAATAAGGAATCTAAGTTAAGTAAAAGACGTAGTAGAGAAATATTTTTAAAAAAAATTACAAATTTGAAGTGCGGTATGGTGTTGTATTTAATTAATTTCACATTAAATAGCATTCTAACTTATATGGAGAGACTAGCTCGATTTTAACTCGTCATCTTGTTTATAAGCGATCAGGTGGCGTTGAGATCATAGGTCACGTGTCTGTGTATCAGTGATCGTCTTCTTCTCCAGTTGCAAGTATCCAATTGGAGATAACGAAATTATGTCAACCTGAACCGCAATTTAATATTCGTTTTCTTCTCGTCTGCTATCCTTGATAAAAAATATTTAAAATGAATTAATTAAAAAACTCTTAAGCAGGTGTTTTTGGTAAAATGTCCTTCTTTTCAGAAGCAATGCAGAAATTTAAAAAAATATGTTAATTGTTCTATTTATTTTAGAAATTAAATGAAATTGCGTTTTTAAGATTTTTTTTTTTACCTGGATGTATGAAAAACCTTTATCCATGTAGCTTGCTTTAAGCGTCTGTGAGTTAATTTACAAGTATGCGATAAATAAATTGTGAAAATAACTCTTGTTTCTGTAGGGATTTAAAAACACTTTATTGTCAGGATCTTTTTACAAATACACTGTATTTATGTTTTATAAGACGGTAGGTAGATTGGTATTTTATTTACGTCGCACTAGAGCTGCACAATGGGGTATTGGCGACGATCTGGGATACATTCCCGATTATGATCCGAAGACATGCAATCACAATTTTGATTCTCTGCAGAGGGGATGGCACTGCCGCTTTGGTAGCCCGACGACCTGCACGCGAAGTCGAGCACTTCACGGTAGAACTGTTTAACGAGAACCGTTACCGTTTTATAAGACGCATAACTATATTCAATAGACTTTGTTTTTTGATAGAGTAGTTAGATTTGCTTCACCAGATAATTGGATATGTTAAACCAGAACTTATTTTAATCAATTTTTACATTTGTCATACTTTTAAAGTACGGTATAGCTAAATCCTGCACTAAGGCGGGTATTTGGCAATACCACACAACTATTGTGCTAGAAATCTAACGAACTAATCAACAAACTCGCGAGTCTATAACTGCCTATGTAACTTGCACATCGCATTCACTCAAGCTTGAGATTACCAATAAGATATAAAAATTAGAGAAAAGATGCTTTTAAATTGAATCAAGCTATATATATATATATATATATATANGTTGTAATACGTGATATATATATATATACCAATTTGTGTCACTTTTTAAATTATGAAAACCTTTACCCATTATTGAAATGATTTATTGTATTCGTTGTATGAAGAGTTCTACATATTTTTAAAATCATATCATGTAAAAACATTTCCTATAATTTTTTGTGACCAAAAATTTAAAAAAATATTGAATTAATTTCAATGATATACAATGAAAAAAATATTTTTTTAACTAACATCTCCAAGTATGAACAGTTAATTTAGGTATCTTGAGTACGTAATAAGTTATCTGAAGAAGAACTAAATAAATTTTTAGAACAACCTTATTCCTGACGAAGTGGTAGCCAATCTGAGTATTAAAGAATGGCCCCTAAGGGAACCACCTAAAGGACTGGAGATGGCTGTGAAACCTAAACATCCTCTTAGAGATGCTTTACCAGCTAACAGTAGGTGTCAATTTGTATGCCTAAAAACGACGATTTGAAAAATTAATTAAAGAAAAACAGAAGAAAAAAATTTGAAATAAAGTCTTTGTTTTTGCTATTTGCTAAATGATCTAGTTTATTTTCAACGTGTTCTAGAATTAGAAACAAACTTCGTCAAGAAAAAGTGCAGCTAACTAAGAGAAACAACGAAACAATTTTTTTTTTTTAAATAACTGCTAAACTTTGTGACACGAGTGTTACTATTAAAGAGCCATTTTTTTATTGAAAAAAACGACATTTATTTACATATTTGACCATTTCCAACTAAACATCTATTCTAATTCAATCTATCCGTCATATGCTCTTCTATAAACAAATCATTTCATACTATTCTATATTAATATTATTCAACACTTCTTCACTTTTTCCTCCCGTGACGCGCAGTTCAGCTTTCTTTACAGCTAAGTTTTGGGTTTCCCTGTTACGGATTCACTAAATTTCTACACACCAAAATAAATAAACTAATAAAATATAAAAACGCTGTCTGAAAACAAATTAGCTCCAAGAAGTTCCAAAATTATCGTCTGCGTAGTCTGTTTTTCAAATAGCTCGCGCTGCTTTTTTTATTGATCACGCCATGCGGTTTTTTAGGACTCCTACACCACTCATCCCGGAAACAACGTTCTGCAATATGAGGATTTAATTAACAGACGCCCACACCAACATTTCAGATGGAATTGTCGCACTATCGGATTTCACATTAACCCCAGCTAAGCATAAAAGATAATTTTCTATCAATATTGAAGCTTAAATTACCTTTATTCTCTATGATGTTATATTTAAATATCATTCTTCGTCCTTTCGTAGGACTGAAATATGCATAATTTGGGCCCACTTAATATGCATAATTTGGACACCACCTCTTTGGGCCCACTTAAACGTTTGGGCAGAGCAACTGGGAAGCCTACTCTCGTAACTCGTAGAGTGTATAATTATTTTGAGGACCATCACCGTGTCAATTTTACACACTTAGTAGAGAGGAGATCCTGGGATCAAAACCCTTTGGCCAGTCGCCATCCTGACAACACACGTGTGCCCCTATCACAACCACCTACATCTCCAAGAAAAGATTCTCCAGATTATCGGATCAACCAGACAGGAGTTGGCCAACCAATAAGACCAGCTCCCCATTTATTTACATAGTTCAACAAAGTTACAGGACACTGGTCAGCACTAGAGTTGGGCAAAATGAATCATCTAAGTGAACTAAGTGGACTGCTTTGAATTGCTTAAGGTGTCGTTCGCATCAATGATTTGAGAGCTAGTGGTAGTGAGTTCAATTCTGACAGCTGGCAAAGCAACCAGAATCATTATCAAGAACGCATCACGATGCACGTTAAATCTGTCGTGGCTGACGATCCTCTTGTTGGCTGTGATGTTAAAGGTTAGACAGAGGGATACCAGCTCAGGCGCAGTTCACGTCGTCTGACTGGGGTCAAAATTATTTGAGATTCCTACCATGACCGTTAAAAGATAGAGATAGAAAACGGATAAACGCTAAAGATAACGCTAAAGATAAACGGACGCTAAAGATAGAAAACGGCGTTAGGTGCTTGGACATAGTTGAGGGCGTGTATTAAAATTTGTTGTTTGGTCTTCGGTTTGTGTTGTGCAGACTTTAATTGTTCTTGGCTAGTTTGTTCTTGAAATTAGTATATTCTTGCTATTGTTAGCGTGGGTTGAATAACTTTTGAAAAATGGGTTGAAATGATTGGTGCAGTTTAATTTAAGACAGTCGATACCGAGGAACCTGCAACAGCGAAAAGGTCTGTTGTAGGTTGAAAAAGAGTTAGTCAATTTCTGCTGCATCCTTATACTGCTCTCTGACAGTTTTGTTAGCTACTGCCGTTTTTTGCTTTGTTGTTAGTAACTGATTATGAATTTTGGTTAGTTTGGTAAATTTTTTTTAATTACACTTATCGTCATGATACTGAAATAGTATTTAAGAATATAGAACAAAAATTCACAACAAATTGTGTCTATGAAGATCAATTAATGCTGGTTTAGTAAATATTCACACATGTACTGACCTCTTTTATTAGTAGTTTATTAAATTTGCTTATTTGGCTGCTTCTTGATGGTGCTCTTTTAGGTTAATTAATTAACATTTAACTGTGAATCTATGTTCTATTGAGAAGTAGAGCGACTAAACGTGTTTGCTCTTTCCACAAAGCTTGTTTAGGGCTAAAAGTGTTCACTCCCTTTCACATTAGGTCAAAATAAAACTAAATGCTTATTTTGACTGCCATATTAAGCTCATAAATGTATTTTATCTCGGCACCACGTCAGGCGCAAGTTGAAATAACGTTCTTTACCGTCATGTAAGTCTTAACTAGGACTAAATGTCATTCAAGAATACAAATATTGAGTGAAGTATGTCACTAAAGAGGGACCTCATCACCTATAGGTATAGGAATGTCTGTGTCTGTGAATCAGCAAAGTGCATCATTGTTTTTGGCCAGCACAGTCTCGGGTTTGATACAGGAATACACTTTTGAGGATAAGACATGCAAGACTGTTTTTGATGAGCACAGCAGTTCTGTGAGGAGTGTGCGTTGGAATCCCTTTCATCCAGATGTGTTTATCTCCTGCAGCAATGATTTCACTGTACTAGTGTGGGAGCACACGCACAAGTAAGCTGAGAGTAAAATATTCTTACGTAACAGGTTGCAGCAAAAACAAATAACGGTACTTGCATATTTTCCCGTCGACTATTTCAGCCAACACCACGCCAAATTCATTTTGGTGACATATCGTGTTCATTAACGCAATTTTTTTCAAATATCACATTTTTTTCCATGATAGGTAGACCCCGTAAATCCTAACCATTGTTTTCAGCAAATTAAAAAAAATATGCTGCAATAAGCGTCATCATTAAAACAAAAATGGTTAGACTGAGAGGGGTTGGCTTGCGGCGTTGTAATACGTGGTAATCCAACATTGGCGTCAAAAAGATGCTTTGGCGATTCATCATCAGATTTGGCAAAGCTAGTCAACGAAATAATATCCGAATATATTTTCGAAAATAACAGGTATTGCACCATTCTGAATATTTTTACAATCACTTGATTACTTAAGGAATTGCACCGCCCTTCAGCTTGAATAATAACAGAATAGAAAGACAGCATTTCTGTTTCGTGTAACAGCTTAATGTGGGGACGTTTTGATTGGTTGAACTATGTCATATGCGCACTAAGTGGTTAACTTTTATACAGCCACTGACAGTTTGATGCATTCGAACTAATGCTCCACATTGTTACTGCTTAAGAAAAAGTGTACTGCTGGCATGATTTAAAACTTTTATTTCATAAATACAGTTTATTCAACAATATAATGCTTGGTATTGTAAAAAAAAATATTGAATGAACATGTTGGGGACTTTCGGTGTCCCCACGAACTCCAGATCTCATTAACATTAATGAATGTATTTTACGGAACCATTCATCCATAACCATCAAGTATCACACTGTTGAAAATTACATGATTGATGTATAAAATTACATTTAAAAAAATTAAACGCAGAGGGGACTTTTGATTGGCTTGGTAGAGGAAAATTTTGTCCTTAAAAACCATGCCTAATAGGTCGTTCAAATGCTACTCAAGCATGTTTTTGGAAATTTTGGTCTCCTCTCTTATCTTTTCAGCAAAAATAAGTAAATCTATCCTTACGAAAAAAAAAGATTTTTTCTTTCTTTTACAGTGGTTAAAGCAACAGTTTTAGGATTGAATTCAAATGAACGTTATAATTTTGCAATAAACAACTTTGAAATTTTATAAAGTAAATTGAAAAACAAAGTTTATTTTTCAATTCACTTTATAAAATTTTAAGAAGTTTAGTAGTTTAAGTAGTAGTGTTAAGTAGTTTTATTTTTTACACTGTGGGAATCTCTTTAGGCTTCCAATCTGCGGTTAAAATTTTTGACTTCTATAACTCCGAGAAAAAAAAATTTCGATCATTTTCTATCTGCACACACAACTGTTATTTCAAATTAAAGTTTTCCAAGTAAAATTTTTTACCAAATTTTGCTTTGGAACTATTTTTTTTACATTAAAAATTTAAAAGAATGTGATTTTAATATATTAATTACCTAAGAATAATTTAGACCTGAAAATTTAAATTTTCAGTTAGTCGCCAGTGTCTGGTAGATTCGGATAACTTAGTAGTCACTTTTTCCTCGGACCTGATGAGTCGATGACCAGTACCGATGGGTCCTATTCAATTAATAGCCAATATTTGCTTCTTTTTATCTGAATTAATATTTTTTTTCTTTTAAATTCATGTTAGAAATAATCTACGACTATAAAACTTAACTCAACAATAAACATAATATAATTATATGACAAAATTTAGTTAAACATACTTACTTTCATCATGCTGGAAAATTCAATGCTCAGTATAAATTTTTTTAAAAAAAGAAATTATTAGAAGTAACCGGTTGTTTATTTAATTTAAGTCGCCGCTTTTATTTGTTGACTCGCTGCGTGGCGAATAGTTATTTTCAGGTCTAGCATTGTTTATACAATATATATATATATATAAACTGCTGTTTGTAGAAAATGCAACACCATGAAGGAATCATCAGAATCAAATGAAATATTATTTTAATAATGGATATAGNTCTACAAACAGCAGTTTATATATATATATATATAAATGATATAAATGAAATCTAAAGTGATATAAAGGAAAGGGGTCTGCCAATTGAAAAGAGACGGAATCAATTTGTGAAAAATCTTAATTTACCATTTGGAGAGACTGGATTGAATCACTTCAGCTATGCAGTAAGAGCGGTACTTTAAATTCCTCTAGTTACACTCAATTTGCGCATTTGTTTTCATATTTTGTAATCTGGCAATCTTGTTGCGAAAATATTTTTAAATCATTTTTGAAAAATTTCTCGTTCATGTAAGTACATCTGATTTCGCTACTCGCTTTAGAGATTTTGTTTTATACTGTTTTTTCTTTTTCTTTTATTTTTTTTCTTCTGTTTTTACGTGTTATTTTTACTTATTGTGTTCTATTTTATTTGTTGTAATTTTGGTAAAAAAAAGTTTTGAGTGCTCCTTACACTATTGTATTAATATATTTTGCTTTGGCTATATTGATTCAGTATCAGAAAGCACTCTTTTTTGCGGATATAATCGTGTGGACTGATAAAAAGATTTATTTTCCGGTTTTTAAAAAAAAAATTCATCCTTTTTTTTAATCAGTTGTTTGTTTGTTTTTTCCATTATTATTCCCCCCCCCCCTTTTTTTCATATGTCTATAATTTTCCTTTGTTTTATCTACATTTTGAAAGAACTTATCTAATGAGTTCTATATTTTTAACAATTATTTTATATGAATATATTTTTAACAATTATTTTATACGATATAAGATGCAAGCACACTTACATAATTTTTTTTTTCCTTTTAGCGAATTTATATTAACTGTTAGATTAATATATCCATTAAAGCATTTTTATTTTTTACTCCATATCGGTAAGTTTGTTTTCTGCTTTTTTTTTCTTGCAAACTCATTTTCAATTGCATTTTTATTTTTTAGAGGTATCAAAACATTATAAAGGGTAATTTTTTATCTTGATTGAGAAAGTGACACCACTTTTGCTATGAACGACACATACATTAGCGATATGAGTTTGGGAAAAAGCAATGGGCTGAAAATTGTTCAGGTGGAAATATATGACTACGAAACAGATCAGAACCTTGCCTATATATTTTTCTTTCTACATAATTTACAACTTTTAAGCTCTTAGTAAAATGCATAATTTTAAAATAGTACAGTTTTTCTTAAAAACATTATTCTTTTTTTTTCTGTATTAGACAGCCTCTGTTCGAATTCTTTTTCGACAGACAATTGAAGGATGTTTCGTGGGCACCATTTTCTTCCTCTTTATTTGCAGCCATATCAGGAAACGCTGTTGTAAGTTTGATACTTTACTAATCTACATAACAAACTATTTTTTTTCTTTTTGAACAGGAACGAATTTAAATCTTCTAAATGCACTTTCAGACAAATTTCCTTTTTTGCATTTCGCTCATTTCTTCAATGAAATAAAATGATTTACAACCAAGAAATTTTACTCTCCTTTTTTGCATTAACTTTATGTGATAAAACTTTTACAGAATTCAGAAATTTCATCTTTGCAATATAAAGTTTAATTGGCCTGCTCGAGGCGGGGCATTCAAATTCTGCCGGTACTTTGCAATGCGCGGTACTAAACGAAAAAAGTATTTTCTATTATGGCAGATATTCGTAAGCTTCTAACAATCAGCATATACACCTCTAAGCTAACAAAGATATGTTCGAAGTAAAGATATGTTTGGGAACCAAAACTTTAACCCCTTAATGTTAATTTTACTTTTTGCATATTTCACCATACCTCGAGAACTTTTTGAGCGATTTGAAAGTTTTTGCACACAGTTATAAAATTCGTTTATCCGAAGATGATTCCATAAATTTCAGTAAAACATTTATTATATTTTAATATTTATATAATGATAGTCGAAAAACTTTCGAGTAGTTCGTTCGAATAGTTCCAGACACATCGAATTTTAAAGATACGTCTTTTTCGAAATTCAATTTCTCGGGAGCTACTCGACTCGGAACTATAATTGTTTTATCTGAAACATTAAAAAACTTTTCTGGAGTAGGTGAGCGTGTTCGACCTGGCCCTTAATAAGGTGGAGGCAATTGGAACGTATGCTGTTTACACACCAAAGCAAAATATAAACTTGACGAAAGTTCTGTTTCATCCCACAATGCCAATACTCATCGTTGGAGACGAAAAGTAAGTTATTTATGGATATTTTTGACCGTATAAGTGATAATGATTTGATTGGATGCATAGAAAATAATTCGGAATTTTTATTTTATTTTTATAACCTCCGTTTAACAGCCTTGTCCCAAGGGAACTCCTGGATAAGCATTTTGAGAAACTAGCCTTCGTGGAGGACCTTCTGATGTAACTAACCCACATTTGCGTTACATGGAGAGGAAAACCTCCCACGGTTAGCCCGCCAGCGAAGGGGGTTACTAACCCATGATCCGTCTACCACTGGAGACAAATTACGTCAGTTCTGTGGTCGATGCGAGCCGGGGGTAAAATTCAGATCAACCAGCTATAGCTGGGATTCGAACATGGGTCACCTCATTGGGAGGCGAGCGCTCTTTCATCTGAGCCTCCACAGCAGTTTTTAAAACGTCTCAAATTTCAATGAATATGAAAGTTTTGCCAAAAAGTATTTGGATTGATGAGATATTAATGGCAACTTTCCCCTCATCAACTGATGAGTTTTCTAATGGAGTATAATTCAACTAATTTAGTAATTTTTTTCATTTACATCATGAAATAATGCGCCTTAATTTATAAAAAATTGCAAAAAAAGTTTTAAAAATTTAAAAAAAAACGGAATGTTTTTCCAGTACACATCCTATGGTCAAAATAAAATCATCCATCTCTACACACACACACATGTTATTTAAATATTGATTTGAAAACTGATTTGATGATTTGAAAACTTAGACAACTCCGCGTTTTATGAAAAATATTTAATAAAATTTTCAAAACTTCTCCCTTTTCAGAGGATCTGTAATCATTCTAAAGCTATCGCCAAATATCCGTTCTTCATTAAAGGTAAGCAAATAGTTTTATTCTATCTCTAAGCCGAAGCATTTGTTCTATTGAAATGTGACGAGCGGACAATGTTTCCGAAAAACCTGACCAAATATAATTCAAACCAGATCATAAATACACAATAAACATTAGTGGCGAATCTGAGTTCAAGATTACAATTTTTAAGATTTACAATATGAGGTTTCTTTTTCAATTCATTAATTTTTCAAATTTAACAAAAACATTTTAATTCTAATGTTGCAGTTTTAATTCTAATGTTACGAAACTATTAGCAGTAGAGATTATAATTTTTTTGCAGTCAAGATCAGCTGAAAAATCAATCTGAAAAGAACTGCGCGAGCTCTCCGATTTTTATAAGAAAAATAATAAATTCATATTTTAAAAGCATTTTTTTTTTAAAAACTTAATTATTTCAAAAAATATTTTTTCGAAATTATAATATTTATGAAAAATAAACTAAAGATCATATTTTTGATCATTATTATTATCATTTTTAATAATTATTGTCATTATTAATAATTATTATTATTATCACTATTAATAATAATTATTATTATTATTATCATTATAATTACACAAGCCTGCGAAATTGAAGTTTTTGAAATATACAAGAGAAGTTATTGTTGATTTATGTGTTATTAGATGTGCTGATTCCGAAAATGGCCTTCATTTTTTACCATCACGTCAGGATTTTTTGTAAAATCGATATTAATGTTTTTACTAAAATCCTATTTGAAAAGGAATTCACTCAAACAATTGTGCATGTTCTATCTGGTAACTGTTCTTCTTTATCATTTCGATCATTCATTACGATCTATTTAATTTGATTCTTGTGAAGGTAAACTAATTTTTGAGCGACCAGCTAATTTTTTGTAGGTTAAAATGAATGAAAAATACTGTTGCCAGATCGTATAAGTCAACTCTGGTCGAGAGAAAAAACAGTAAGTTCCTTGAATTTAAACATTTTACATCAGCTTCTAGAAGAAAATCAGCAACATATCATTTTAATTTATTTTTATTAAGGTAACTTACGTAAAATTAACGATTGACCAAGAATAGCAAATATTGTGTGTGCGTACATGCAAGTTTGAAACAAAAACAAAGCAAAAGAAAAACGTTTCTATGTAAGTACATGCTCATTTTTCTCTAAAACTTATTTTTGATGATCTTTTTTTATGCTTAATCTCAGGCCTATCTCTAGTTAACATCTAACAGTAATCGTCAAGCATGTGCTTGTCCCATCTTCCTTGATATTTAAGTTCCCTATCTCTGATATCTTGATGGAACCTTTCACCTTATTCTTCGCTAACTGCTCCTAAATTTTCGAGGAAAAAGTATATGCATTTTGACACTTGTGGGGCAATCCAAAGTTTTTAATTTGTCCAGCATTTTCATTGCAAATGCTTTCTTTACAGCCAGGATCCTTGTAGTTAACTAGAAATTTACTGACTTCTTTGAAGGCAACCCAAGCTTCTTTTTCCGTTGTGGCCATATTAGTCTCAGAAACTTTATCCTTCGTGAGTTTGCGGATATCTGGACCAAAAAAGATTCCCTCTTTCTGCTTGGGATAAACGTGGAAACTTATTGCACAGCACAGGTATTTGAAACAAACGTCACCTTTTGGAACAGCCTTGACAAACTGCTTCATTACATCGAATTTTATGTTTAGAGGGGGTAACAATACTCTTTTGGATCAACTAAGCTGTTTCGAATAATATTCTTGGAGCCTTGGTCAAGATTTTATCTTTTCAGCCATTATATTTTGATTGAATGGTAAGTCTTGCCATGGCTGTCCCACTCACAAATGAGACAAGAGAACTTTGTAAATCCATCTTGTTGAACAAGAAGCAGGGAGATAACTTTCAAATCAACGCAAATGGTCCAACTGTGGTCAATATATTTCATTTTGCTCAGGATGAGAGCCAGGTTTTTATAGCATTATTTTAAATATACCGATTGTCTAACTGGTATAGATGCATACTGGCTCCCATGATGAAGAAGGACAGCTTTGAGACTTCTTTTAGATGAATCTATAAACATCCTCCACTCATCTTTATCGTAGATGACATTAAATTTGCTCATCAATACAGGAATATCAGAACAATTGACTAAGTTTTCCTCTTCTTCGACAAAGTATTTAATAAATTCTTTTTCTTGATTTCGGTACCAATAAAAAGATGTTCCTTTGGCCAATAAGTTTTTTCTTTCAGTCTGAAGCCTAAAAATTTTTCAACGGCCTCTTTCAAAAGGTCCAGATCTCTAGTCAGATCATCAAGTTTAACCTGAGAGAAGGGAAGAGGAAACCGGCTACAGATGGCTAATATTCGATACTGGAGCCTTGAACTTCTGGATGCTCCGAGTCTGAAGACTCTGAAGATATGACTAGCAATTCAGTTGGTGGCACGACCACATCAGGTCCATGAGGAACGTGGCATATGGTTGATGGAATGTTATCAAGATAAGATAAGCCTTGGATTTTTCCGGTTATATCCACATACATTGCAGGAACGAAAATAACAATCATCAAAGTAGTTCTTAGGCTCCCTCCATGTCATAGGAATTCCAAATCGTAAGGCAGTCTTCTTTCCTCGGAGCCATAAGCGTATATCATTTAGACACTATACACAGACTTTATGAGGAGCCCACGATTTGGCCTGATCTCCGAGTTTCATTCAAAAGTACGCAAGATAAAGTTGTCTAACATAGTCTGTAATGCTCCTCATGCGATTTTTAACAACACTATGACCACTGCATATGTAACAAAAGTCATCTGGGAAATTTTCACAACGTCTCGACCAAAATAAGAATTTTCGTGACGCTGTTGGTCGAGAGATATTGTGATAGAGAGAGGGACGGTGACAGGAAGATGTCATAGATGTATACTCTTTTAGATTTTACCGAAGTAGAATGATGGTCACGCAAGAAGAGAGGTAATTCAAAAATGAAAAAATTTTTATGGTAAATGTTCATAAAAATTTCAGTAAAATTAAATTTTTCAAAAAAAAATTTGACGTATCAGAAAATTTTCATCATTGTTTTCCATTTTAGCACCAAAAAAATACATAAAGTTCAGCTATCAGACCTCTTGTATTTTTTTCATCGCAGGCTTGTGTTATTAGTATTATTATTATTAATAATCAATGATATTTATAACTTTCAATTATATTTCCATTAATTGGCAGAGACTTCGGGGGGAGGGGGAATGTTAAGATAGAACCTCGCCAGTTCAAATCGTGAAAGTATCTGAAAAGAACAACACAAGCAGTTCCGGGAATCGGAAAATGATTGCGAGCAGGGGAAAGAGCGCCCTTGTATTTAAAAGAATTCTAGACACTGCAGGCATTGATGAGTATTTGTGTGGGCCAAAAAATTAATAGTAAAAATTAATACATTAATACAACAAATTAATTTTAATTTAGTTACAAAAAAATTAATACAAAACATAGATCAATGGCAATTATTAAAAAATCCCTAAAGCTTAGAATAAGGAAATGGCATTACACTACATTAAATTATGCTAAATTATTTTAAATTTAAATTGATTTTTTTCCTGCTGACAGTAATCTGTATAATGTATACGATGGCTCCGCTTAATTGTTCCATCATGCAACTGTTCTATTATTTCGTCCATAGGTTTTACGTAACATGTGATAATATTCAGATGTATTTTTTGCTATGAATAAACTTAAACTCTATTTTTATCTAATAGTGCAGATCATTTTTTTCCCTTCAGGATCTGAACACTGAGGAGTTTGTGAGCAGAGAAAGAGAGAAAATGGAAAGGCTCTTGAAGGTTAGCATCAGACCTGCTTTGTGACATGTCTTTCTTATTTAAACCCCTTTTATCTTAATAAAGGAACAATTCAAAAACATTCATTAATGCTCGTTTCTTTTAATTAACAAAATACCTTATTCTCTCCTTATAAAAGATAAATAGGGGTTTTATGACTTCACCTTTTTAATGTTTTTACACCGCTCAAATATAGTCCCTGACCTAACGTGGTTTTGTTTCCCAGAAATTAAGATTTTTATGGGGTTACCACTAAAATGTGACTCGGAGTTGTCGCCTAGACTAGATATGAATGGTTGAACAATAACAAACTTCCCAAAAGCGGTAGAAATCTAAGAAAACTTCCGGTAGATCTCTTCGCTTGTGTTATGCGTACGAGGCGATGTGTGAACATTGTTTAATATTCTAGGAAGTTTTTAAGCTTAAATTTGCGCGTGATTTTACTATTCATAAGAGTTTTCTTTAATTTATAAATTCTAACAGGTCATGAGCCTAAAACGAATGTCAGAAAATTAACGCATGGCAAACCTTATTTATGTTGTAATATTGAGTATTATCCCTAATTTGGCTCTATTTGGGTAAAATATCAACGTTAGTTATTTATTTGGGTAACATCTTGCAGGGCATAGCACGCTTGCAGAGTCTTCCAAATTATGTTGTTTGTTTCGTTGTAATTTAAATTTAAAAAAACGAGTTATATTGTAAACACTACAAGTATAATAATATTGGATGGCACCCAATATTATAATACTTGTAGTTCATTAATGACACTCAATATTATTATACTTGTCAAGTTCCGGTGTCAAAATTAATCAGAAGTAAAAATCTTACGACGAATTTCAACCCATATCTGTGCTGAGCTTTACACGGTCGACCCTCTATATGTAAAGGAATGGTAAACTGTTTTGGTTGTTTGATATACAGTTTAGTGTTTTGATTTGTTTTATTGTCGAAAAAGGGCATATTTTAACATAATTGTGAGGATTACACATTTTATGTATTGCAATTTTTCATATAAATTCCTTTTTTTTAAACAAAAAATGTAACAGAGACTTGCAAACAGACCAATAAAAATGTGTGCAAACTATCCCTGCGCTTCATTCAATGATCAGAGGACCAGTAGCTAATATTTCTTAATTTCTATCCTGTAGAGTTTTCTTATACTATTAACCCTTTTGTGGTCCTATTAAATTTATACAAAGTTGTTATAGTAATTAGAATTAATTTTTGTGAGAAGGACATAGGGCGATTCTTTTAAGAACTAACACAACTGAAACACGATTCGTAACAGTCATTTTTATCTATCGCCATGGTTTATCAACTTAAATGAACAGAATTGTTCAATACTATGAGATCAGTTTGTGTTGATATATATGTTTAATTATTGTTGTTGAGTAGCCGACCCAATTTTTGAGTTTACGACTACTAATGTTCAATTCCGTAGCTTTGTAATTTTGATCCAATCCAGAAGACAAGGGAACTCCTAAAGTGTGAAATTTTGCCTTTGTGGAGAACTTTTCGATAGAACTAACTAATGACTGAAATTGATGATTGTTGACTTCCACTCATGAATATTGACAATCACATACTAGCTTTGGCAAATGCCCGGTATGCCCTACATCAATGTTTTTTAGAGTCATAAGTGCCCAGTATGCATTTACGCGGTACTCCGAACACTGATGTTTCTCCTTATCTATCCTAAGCAGATATTAAAATATCGACAAAATATAATAATATCAAGGAATAAACTATTATCAAATCGGTGTAGTAAATATTTCGGACATTCACCGGCGACATTCTCTTGATTTCGTGTCACTCACGATAACATATATATATATATATATATATACAAATGAATCTTTAGTGGCTGAAAGTGAAAATATAATCGTAAAAGGGAAACTGGGTCGATATTTAAAGTCAATTTTATAAAATAATTTAAAGAATCGATCAAATAAACCCTTTTTGAATGTTAACTTCAGTTAAATAAAGAAAGCAGCAAAACGTACTGCTAGTCCAGGTTCCGATTCTTATAACTTTATTAATATCTAAGCAGCACTCGGTTCGGTTAGTGTGCGGATAGGTGATTGCTTGGATCAGTCTGCGGATGTGCGGGCATGGGTCCACGTTAAACTACTTTACCTTAAAGTGCTTGACTTCGCACACAGATCGTCGGGCTACCGAAGCGGGGAAACCATCTCCTATGGAGAGCATCAAAATTGTAATGGTATGTATTTGGATCAACCTCAGTGATGTTTCCCAGATCATCACCCCCAGCCCATTATGCAACATAAATGAACTACAACAATCATTCGTATTTTTAACTATGGTAACTATTGCAGGGGGAAAAAATAATTACTGAAACAATGGTAAAAACAGTCTAGATTATATAATATATTTTTATTTCATAAAATGCAAAGGGGCTTCACTATGATCCAAATACAATTCACAACAAACAACCAAATAGTCTTCCACTTAATAATTTTTAAAAAAATATTATTAGGTCATAAAAAATAAAAAAAATACTAGTTAAATCAATTTTAAACAGGGTTAGTATTTTATTCAGAAAAAAACGATTTCCTTCCGAAACTGGACAAAATTGAAGAAACTAAAAATTACCAATACAATTGTTTAGCAATAAGTATTATATGAAGAGTCCAAATTTAAACAAATTCAATTCACTGTGATTACAGAAATTTAAAGTTTTTCCCATTTTCATTAAAAAAATAAATAAATAAAACACCTTCCGTGTATCCCGATATATAAGTCTGCCCGGTTGATCCCTTGATTTATCTAAAATTTGGGGGGTTTATAAAATATTAGATTATATACCAGAATATATGTATTTAATTTTTATTAAGCTTCAAACAGGATTTTAAAATATGTATGTCACATTATTTAAGAGTTGGTTTGAGTATTGATGCTATTTGTTATCGTGAATTCAATATGTGTTTTTTACTGATATCTATGTTTAGTATGGGATTTGTTAATTAAGTAAAATTAAGAAAATTTCATTATTATGCTAACAGCTCTTAAGTTATCAAATTAGGTTTCGCTACACTCTTTTACATAAAATATTGAAATACTACAGTTATTTTAATTTTCTTAGCTAATTCATTAAATTAATTATTTTTTCTTCCTATTGTTGCTTTTTAATTTTCGTTTACTTATTTGAAAATGTTATATTAAGTAGCTCATAAATTAATACTATTATTTAAACTAAATTGCAACTGTAGACTGTTTAAAAAAAAACTGTGTTAACAGTTGATATTTCTTTTTGGATAAAAAAGAAAAGAATGTCTTCCATTTGAGTTGGAAGAAACTTATTTCTCTTCCAGAACGGTTTCTTCGATAGTGAAGAAAATCATCATTTGGCAAATAAAATACTGCTAATATATAGGCATTTAATACAATACTTAAGAGATTTTTCAAAAAAACCAATTGACACAAAAAACAATACTTTTAAAGAGGTCAAATGAACAAATGCCTTCGGGTCTCTTACATTTATTTAAACTTATTACTCGCCCATAAGAAATTGTAATAAATAGATTATATAGGACGATATATATTGAAATATCGATAATTTTTCATTATCGCGATAACGATATTAAAAATATAGCCTCACAAATTTTCGTAAAAATTACTCTATAATTATCTGAGAGGTGGTGGCTCAGGGGATAGAGCATTCGCCTTCCAACTGGGTTCGAATCCCAGAGATGGCTGGTCGATATGAATTCCTCAATCGGCTCGCACCGACCACATTGCTGGCGTAAAATATGCTCAGTGGTAGACGGATCATGGATTAGAGTCCAAAAAGTCCTCCGCGAAGGCAAACTTCTCCCAATACTTGATCCAGGAGTTCCCTTGTCTTCTGTTCAAAATGACAAGGTTTCGGAGTTGAACATTAGTAGTCGTAAACCCAAAACTGGTTCAGCTGTTCAATGACGGTTATATTATAAAAAAAATCTGAAAATATCGACAAACGATAAATACCGAAAAATATCGATACTCAATAAATATAGACACTCGAAAAATACCGATACTCGATTAATACAAACTATATCGTGACCCAATGAGTAAAATTCACTTTGTAGAGTAGAAAGAGGAAAATCTTTTTCTTCACAGTTCAAGGAAGGACACTGGCGACTGATCTTTACATTTCTTGACGCCATTTTTTTTTTCTAGACAGGTGGAAGTATTATAAATATATTGGATATAAGTTCCACGAAACTAAGAAATTATTAGTCGTTTTCTGATGAATCTTAGAAAATGAGCTGTCGAAAAAGAAATGTCGATCACATAATTTTTCCTGTCTTTTAACAAATTAATCAAAATGAATTTTTATAGCATTAAATCAGTAATGCATCTGTTACCATGAATGACAAAAAACAAGAGAATGTCGACTTTCACCGGTGAATGTCAACAATCACATAGTCGCTATGGTGAATGCTTGAAATATTTGTTATATCCTGTTTGATATTAAGTTATTCGTTGATATTATGCGATATTTTAATACCTGCTGAAGATAGAGTAGGAGAAGCATCAGTGTTCGGAGTACCGGTTAAATGCATGCCAGGCAGTGGCACTTGACCTTCAGAAAACATTGATGTAGGGCATACCACGCAAATGTATACCGGGCAGTGGCACTTAGCTAGAACAAGTACATATATATTTCTGACATTTACCAAAGAGGCTATGTGATCGTCAAGATTCACCGGTGGAAGTCAACAACCACCTATTTCAGTCGTTTCATATCAATAATGCAATAAACAATCATTGAATATTCATTTTAGATAATGTATCTAGAGATCTACATTTAAGATTTCTCAATTAGTGAAGAAAAATAGCCATTTTATTTAGTATAGCAAAAATCTCCTCTCTCAAATTATATATTATTAAACATTCATAGTTGCTCGGTTAATTTTAAAATTATTATTATTAAATTTTTTTAGAAAAAAAAAATTTTTTTTTCATATTGAAAAAACATTGCCAATGTAAAATATACGTGAATTAATTTTCTGAACATATAGTGATATATCGATATTTTATAACGCGATATATGGCGATTTCAAAAATTCTGATATTGCCCAGCACTAGTAGTAAATACAGTAGACTCTTGATTAATTCCTGGATAAGATTATTGTAGCAACAGATTATCTAGGACGTCTCAAAAGAAAAGAAAAAAACATAAAATGGCTTTGTGGTTTGACACACCCTCAGATTGAATCCCTGTAAAACATCAACATTTATTACAATCAATTTGATAAAAATGTTGCTTTAGAACAGAACCAACTTCAGAGCATGGGTTAAGTCTTCATTAATCTCTAAAGGCATTTGCCAGCGTCTGACACAGGAGGAAGTTACCGGCAAATTTGCACACTCACACGGGCAATCTTGTACCTCACGTTATTTTATTTTTAATGCCCGTCTGAGATCCGTTTCAGTAAAAATGGATAGGCTAGATTATAATTAAATTTATATGACACCACTATGCAGTATTTTTCTTGTGTAAAACATGTGGTGCATGATTAGCTATTCGATACATTGATTTATTAGTTATTAATTGATATATTGATTTAATTTGATTTTAATATTTTGAAATTCAAAATAAACCAGTAATCAAATTGTTTAAACTTTGTTTATACAGTAATTTTCTTTATAACTTTTACACCAAGCCCTGCTTCCTAGTCACCCCCNTTGACCCCCCCCCCCCCCACACACACACACACAACTTTGAAATTACAAAAAATTACTTACACTCATTTGTTTTCTGTCACAAAAAAAAACTCAATAAATTTTTAGCAGTTTTCCCGGAAAACCTTGTGCTGGTTTACCTTGTGCTTTAAGAGGTCAAGACCGAATGTGAACTCCGATTAGCGTAATATAAACCTAGTTCCTGATGCACGTTAATAGAAATTTATCCTATATATTTTTTTATAAACTAGAATAGTAAATGTTGTAATAAGGTCATAATATATTCTGCTCTAATGAAAATAAATTTTAAAAAAGTTTACATTTATTGTGTGTATCTAACTTATTGTAAATAGGGCATGATGCAGAGCTTCAAATGAGAACATAAAATGACATAACGTTGATTGTTATTCTCGAAATAGTAGAGGTCGAGTCGTTTTAAAAAAAAAAACATAGATTGACAGTTAAACTATTTTCTAATCAACTTTCATTATCCAATTTACTTGGTCAAAAAAAAATTCTTGTAAGCTATAGATAAATTTAGATACATACTGATAAAGATAACAACAAATAAATTTTGAATAAACACAGACATTTTGATTTGAGACATTTGAAGTTCATCAAAATTTAATTTCCATCTGAATCCAATTCATGACATGCATAATATTTTATTTGAATTATAATACAATTGAAAGAGTTTGGAGCAATGTATTAGGCTGCTTTTCAATGTTCTCTGTCACAAAATAAAGTCCCGTCAGTTTATCATATTAATACAGCTCATTTGGAATTGAGATTTAGTTAAACTAATTATGACATTTTAGTAGTTTTATATAACATATAAATAAAAAGAAGACACGGGGCTGAAAAAAGGCCTGGCTATGACTGAAGAAGTTTAGATATTCTTAAAACTTTTAATTATTTTTAGTGTGCAATTTTTAAGCAAGTAATAAAGAAAAAGAAACTGAATTTGGAAGCACATTCTAAATAAAAAGTTTTATAAATGCGAAACAATATGAATACTACAACTCTTCTTGTATTTTGATTCATTACATTCATTATCCAACATTCATTATCATTATTATTATTTATTTTGTGGTGTGAAAATATTTTTAATTTAAAAGCTCTGTCCAACACAACAACGAAATAACTAATTATAAATCTACAATATGAAAAAATATTATGGAACTAAGAATTTAGAACAGATGTATCTTATTTAAAACTAAGTAAATATTACACATAATTTGTATAACTTTAACTCAATATTTTCAGAAAACTTCTTTGATTTTGACTATTATTGAGTTCTGTCTAGTACTAATGATTAAGAATCGCATTTTTTTAAAGAAAAATTAATACTTAAAATGCAATGTTTCAAATAGAACTAAAAGAAATTAAAAACACAATATTCGCATAAATAAAAATTGAAACTTTAAAAATAACACGATTGTCGTATTTTCTATGTACTCTTTTATATCACTTGTTGGGTTTGTAATCACATCAATTATATACACATCAATTACTTCATATCAATTATATAAATTTGTAATAAATCAATCAATTAATTATTTATAATCAAATACACATAAACATACTTCATTGTTTCTTCTTCAATGTCATTTATTCTCTTTTGATAAATATAATTTCATTAAAATTCTAATGCAAATAACACACTTTTTTCATTCTCTCACAAAACAGAGGACTGAACTAAAGCGAAAGCAAATGGCAAACGTTAATCTTGATGGAATAGATGGAAGTGGAATAACTAATAGGGCAACAATCTTCCTTCACTTAAAGACGCGAAACAACCGACTTTTTTTCTCTCTTTTTTTTAAAGATCTCAGGCCCCAGTATATTCTTGCCTAGTTTTTTTTCTATGTTGATGTTTTTTTTTATGCAGCAGTGTTTCACATTTTTTTAGGGATGACAAGAAGGCTGGCATCACTACTTCTGGTTGCTCTACATATTCAACAGCACTTTAGATCGCTTTTAGTTCATCGGTATGAGAGATTTTCACATGTTGATTTTCAGTGTCTTCACTAGATTCATTTTATTATTGACGATATTAACAATCATTTCATCTTTAATCTCGTGTTATCTGTCAGCTTCTTTCCCTGAGTGTTTGGAAGATAAAATTCAGAATTTTTTTTTCAGTGGTAGTTTTAAAAATAAAATATAAACTAGAACAAAAAAATTAAAATTCTTGAAATATTTGATAGCTCGGTTTAAGCGGGAACTTGGATAATCGGGGCTCTACTGTAATTGAAAGTCTACACTATTAAAAGACATGTAACATAAATAGTTCCAGATTAATGGGTGACATTGGTGGGTACTTTGAAATTTCACAGCTTTCCACCAAAGATATAAATAGGGGAGGTTGAATAAACATTCAAACATACAATTTATTAAGAAACATATATGTACAAGGGTTAAAATTTAGTTAACTGTGTGGCAACGTATCATCTTCGGTGGCGTCTCTTTTCGACGTGGTACGGAACATTGTGGTGTTTTTTGTGAGATTGTTTGGAAGGATTGTCTGCAGTTACAGTTGCAGGTGATAAACACATTTCAAGTTCTCTCTCTCGCTGTTCTTTCATAGCTTTTAATTTTGCTTCAATTGCCATTATCTGATGCAGAGAGCTGAAAGGATATTTACTGTTAAACACTCAAATATCTAAATTTCAGTTTGTGATTCAAATGAGACTGCAATAAATCATTTTCTAAAAAGTTAAAAAAAAAGGTTTAGATTAAAGTATACTTCAAAGTAAATTAAAACAATATTCATAGTTCTTACTTTATTTATTTGTTTTAGCAATTTAAATTTCTAAAATCTAAATTTATAAGTGTATTAAAAATTATAAATTAATAAGTGTTTTAGGAAACAAACTATTCTTAAGTCAACCATTTCACATTTTCTATACATTAAATCTTGTAAATTATGTACATAAAAAAAATTCCTTATTATAAACATTCTCTTTAATTAAAAATTTGAAAAACACAATAATTATTTCAATTATATGTTAATTTTATATCAAAATATATACAAACTAAATTTTGACATATTCAATAATCTGTCACATCAATATTCATATGCTAATTAAGTTCATCAGCAAAAGGATAAAGTAAAGCTAGGAGGACAATGGATGTTAAAACTTCAAATTTTCATAAGGTTGGGGAAAAATTTTAGTAAATAAATGAAAAGCACTCCCCTCATAAGTTGTTGTGTGTTCACTAATATAACATTTATAATTTCATAAATATCCCACGTGGTAGTTTTGAAAAATCTTGGCATGGCAATATTAAGAAGTTTGCTATTTTTGCCAATTAATAAGCAGTTGGATAGCTATGTATTATGGAAAGCTCGATAGATATCCACCTAAGCTAACAAAGAATTTGTACTCCTTATCCTATTAGCCCTGCAGACAAGAATTGGTATATGCAAATATGAAATCATGTGGATAAAGGTTAGAATTTTTCCATGTTGTTACAAATCAATACAAAGGTTTCTGCTATTTGGGCTCCAGATACTGAACAGATTGTGTTTATTAAGCATTGAAAGAAGTTTGTAACAATGCTACACTTCTCAACAATCAATTCTTAGTTAGAATTATAAGAAGTGAGCCCAGTTAGTCAACTTTCATATAAATGTAAGAAAACATCCCTGAATGTCTGAACAATTAAGTAAAAAAAAATGAATAGGAAAGGAACATAGCTAAAACAAGTATGAAGTGTCAAATTTCAAGAAAGTAAGCATGTTAGATGCGGTTCAATTGAAAAAAAATCATTAAAAATGATGCACATCCGCTTTTGAGTGAACACAACTGACAGGTAAAGTTGCTTTTCATTACCTTGTAGTTTTGATTTCAAAATTGACTTTTGTATGAAAATAGAAAATAGAGAATTTTGTATTCATTGAAAATAGAAGGAAAAAAATTTCATCAATAGAATTATGAAGGGAGAGAAAAAATTGAAACAAAATCTTTAGACAAGATAGTGCTGTTTATGTATAGATTGCACGTGTGTTGGCCAAAATCAAAAATCTGAATTGTGTCATCCATCATTTTAATGAACTAAATGATGAAATGCTTTTTGATAATTAATAATTTTTACCAAGTAAGAAAATCTTAAGCATGAGCAGCAGTTCAAAAGAAACAAGACTAAATATTGAGGTGCTTCGTACTAATAAGTTTCTTGAAATCAACTCTGATTTCAAACACAAATTAGATATGTTAGTACTAGACTCCGTAGAGGGGAAAGAGATACATTCTAAGGCAAATTATGAATTTTCTTTAAAAAAACACAAAAAAGAACAAAAATTTAATGACTTAAGATAAGAGTTTAAAAGCAATTTGGTTCTTCACTCAAATGAATTGGTTCTAAAGTTAAAATAAAATTTTTAACAAATAACAGTTTGTTATTTTTAATGATAGACAAACCTAAATTTGAAAAAGCAGATCAATCCAAGAACGTGAAAGAGCGTCAAGTTCTCATTTTATGATATTAATTTAAAAAATTTATATAATTTTACAATGGTTAAGCATTTATTCAAATAGATATAAAATGGCTTAATGCCTCAATTTTGAGGACCTGAATTAGTTTTTAATTCTCTCTATGAAGAGATGATGAAGAATTTTGATAGCAATAATAGTTCAAAATAACAGCATATTGATAATTCACCAGTTCAATCCAGAATCAATCCCTTTCTTAATGTGATAATAATTTTCTAAATAAATGTATAGATTTTATAACAAAAGCATTAATATCACTTTATTTATTTTGGAAACTAAAGTTTCTAAAGAAAATTTAGTCTGACGTTTTTAGAAATTACCTATAAAGAAAAATACCAACCTTTTAGACTTCTTAGATTCATCAGGTTGTGTGTCACAAATAGTTTTGGTGGATTTCTGTTGAGTAACTGAATCCTAAAATTTAAAAAAATGACTTGATATTTCAATCGTAAGTATGGTTATAGATTTTAAATCATAAAATAATGCTTATTTATATAAAAAAATGTATACTAGTTAAAATTTTGAAGTAATCAGACATCTATGGGTTAAAGAAAATAGTCACATGTTTAGATTTAAGCATGGTCTATATGAGTTGTTATAATGGATCAAAGGAATCAAACAGACAAAGCAAAAAAGATTTTATTTAATCGCTAATAATGTTTTTAATATCATTAATAATGTCAAAAATTGTTCTGTAATGTACAGTGTGCAAAATAAAAAAAATTAACATTAAGGGGTCCTAACTTTGGCCCCTATTTCCAATTAGGGGTCAGAAATCCGAATTCATAGCAAAAACAGTATGATTATTTAGAGAAAGTACGTTTTTAAGTCTAATTTTGAAACTTGAAATAGCATCAGCACTAATTAATTACGATATTTTAGGTCAATCCCTCGAACCATTAAGATCTAGAATGTGAAGATCCAATTATTCGACCATAAGTTATTCATGGTGGTCCATGTTTTATTGTGCACACTGTGCATATCTTTGAGCATTTTCTACTTTAGAAGAAGTGATTAGTCAAAGATAGGCAGCACAAAATTAAAAAAAAACATAGTTCTCACAAAAAAGCATTATTTTACCAAATAAAGAAAGAGTTTTGTCGATAAAAAAATAATATTTTCAATTTCAAAATTGCATAATTATCTTGATAGAAACTTTAGAATACAATTATATTTACAGAACATAATAATTATGTGCATTCACTTACAGATGGTGCTGTGTGGGCCCACTTAACAGCCAATTCTTTTCCCATAAAAAGTTTTCCGTTCAGATTTATCATGGCCTTTTCAGCTTCCTCTCTCCTGTCATAGGTCACAAAACAGTATCCTCTAGGGTGACCCTTCAAGTGTCCAGACTTGTGAAACAAAAAGTCAAACTTCTTAATTTTTCCAAACTGTTGCACAATTTTCAGCAGGTTGTACCTTTTGTTAAACCAATATTACTTAGCAATAATTAAATTGAAATAAAAATATTAATACCAATATATAAAATATACAGAAATACAAGGGATAAAAGGTCTTGATGAATTAAGAAGAAGATTTTAATGGCTTAAACTGCCAAGTAAGATACACACAAGTAAAATGTATTTACTTAGTTTTAGACTTTAAAATCATAAGAATAAAAAACTCATACAATGTTTTTTTAAATTTAACTTATTCACCAATAATAAATAATTTCATACATACAATCAATTTTGGTAATCGAGGAAGCAAATTAAGTGAGAAAACTGGTTTATCAATATAAAAAATTATTGGTATATTGATAAAAAAACTTCATTATTACAAGCATAACTGGATTTAAATAGCATGAACTTCTAGAAAATTTTGCTGAAATGCTTAAAAAAAAAACCTTGGCTTGTTGCACCTCCGCACAGTCTTTGATTTTATAAAGCAGCTGATTTTATGAATTACCATATAATTAGGAAAAATAATATTTTATAAATGTACCAAATGAGCTAAACCATTGACTATAGTTGTTATAATTTACATTTTGATTAAATTTGTTTTCATTTACAAAAGTATTTTAAGATCTCAGAATACTGTTGGTTGATTAGCAGAATCTTAAATAAAATATTCAACATTATTTTGATGCTTCCAAAAGTTTTTGTTACTTTCCCTACTACATGGAGTACCATTGGAATATTTTTCGAATTTATCATCAAGTACCTTTCAATTTCCCTTTATTTATCCTTCAGTTCCCCCTAAAAGTATACTCCACACCTGTAACTTTTTCTTATATTTGTGGGTGGTAAACTGGGAATTTGTTATCTATTATCTAATACAATTATTATGCTATCAATTATCTAATATTTGTTATCTAATATCTAATACAATTACAGAAACTAAACATTAGCACTTAGATGATTTCTAGTTGTCAGGAACAGCTACCCATATAGAAATGGGGATGTTTCTACATTAGAGCTGGTTCCTCCAACTGAAACCACCATATGTCACTCTCTGGGTTTTTACTGATAATAATTTTTTTTCAAAAAAACTTATAATAGGTTAGCCCAGAAGGGGCTACAAGTTTTACTCTTTGAGTTTGCCTCATTTTGTGATTTATTAATTAATTATTACTTTTTTCCCTGATTGGTGTCTTTTCACCCTGATTGATGCCTTATCTACCATTTTGAAACAGATACATAAACATTCTGATGGGAATATCCCAGGAAAAGCATTCATACTCTGTCAAACGGCTGTCAATGTTTCCAATCCAAAGTCTCTTTTCATCTGCTTCAGGTGGAGGTGAAGGGTCCAATGGTAAAGGAATACTTGCTTCCTGAAAGTCACAATCATACTATTTAAAAATTAATTCATTGTTAAACAAAATAATTGAAATAAAACAGCAACATAGATTTTAAAAAAAAACAATATAATACGAGACTACGTTCACATTTAAGTCTCCACATAAGAGTTACTTATTTGAATAAAAAGTAAATTCCTGTTAAATTTTTTTTAAAATAAATAAAGCATTTTTAAGGGGTTTTTTTTTCTGAAGGCTTCGCTGTCAAATGAAACAACCCTTTTCAGCAATTATATTGATAAAAATTAGTAACATTCATAAGAGATAAGCTTAGCTTCGCTCATCGTTTGCCAGTACTCTCTATGCCAAATACAAAAATAGAATAAAATATCACTTACTAAAAAAGTTACTATTTTGTAAAAATAAAAAGAGTTTGCTTTCAAAATTTGAATGTTACTCCAAATTTTTATTATTTGGGTTTATAAAAAATTTTATAAAATCAGGGTGTGAAATTAACAGTGGTCCAAGTATAATTTTAGCTGTCTGAGAGTACTAAAATTTGATTCCGATAACCATAAAATAATATAATTATCAGCGCCACCGAATAATATAAATGGATGGTATGCTGTTTTAGTTTCTTATTTCATGGTTTGCGTTTTGCTTGCATGTATGCTTTTTTTTATATCCTGAAAGCAACATTACATGTTCTCAGCTTATTTATTTTTTTATTATTTAAATTCACTTCAGTAAACTTTACTTTAAAAAAAAATCTAATAGTGAGATTTAACCTTACCACTTAAAATGAATACTGACTAGTAATTATTTTCTTAGTCCAATCCAGTGACTATATTTTCTTAGTTACCACTCTTGTTCAAACCGAGAACTAATATTTGATTTAAATGATTTACAGCTAGAAGGATCTGTCCAAATCAGGAGCTTTTTTTAAATATTACTTAATGCTAGTTGTTCCTTTTACAGTCCAAAGAATTCTTTTTAGAAAGATAGCTAGCTTACATAGTTTCAAATTCAGGAAATATTTTCATATTGGTACTTGTTTGCACAACTACTATCACTAAGGGCTCAAAAATGGGTTCGGTAATTGCAAAAGTTAAAAAATATATATATACTGGTTTGCCAGGGATGGCTATAGGTAATACCTTTCAAGCAGTGATGGGCATCATTCACGGAAATTTTATTCATGGCGAAATTTAACAAGAATAAATTTATTCTGAATGATTATTCATATGCAAATTTTTGAATAATGATTGAAGAATAAATTTATTAGTCATGAAGTTAGTTCATGAAAAATGCAAGCATTACATCATTTTCATTGCAAATTGCGCATCGATTACAGTAATCGAATACAAATGTAATTAATCATAGTAGATAGTGATTGCTTTGTAAGCAACTCCCCTAACCATTCATCTGGACCTGTGATGGTGACTACGATAACAAGGTATAACTATTTCAAGTAGGGATGGGGGGTCACTGCTTAGGACAGATTTGGCTCGAGTCGGCGAGAGAAAGGAAATATTTTCCTTCAGTCTATAGTGTTAGCTCTAGAATGAAGAGAAGCTATCCTCCTATTCTTTTATACATAGCCGCAAACGGCCTCAGACTTTGTGGCAAGAGGAGTTCTTACCACAGACACACTATAATGACCATGATTACAAGTAATCACAGTAACAAATAATTATCATTTCTTATTACATGCAGTTATCACTATTTATAATCACAATAAAAAGTAATTACAGATAATCAGAATTACAAATAATCAAGCCTCGGGATTGCAAGTCATAGTGGCTGCTTGTAATCATTAAGTAAGATTAGGAGGTATCATAACTACAAGTTATCATAATCTAACAAAAACAGGTAATCTTAATTTCGAGTAATTGTGATAAATATGATTACAACACAATTAGACGTAATCATAATTTCAAGTGTGCTTGATTATATTGTAATAGGAATTGTAGGTAATTGGATAATTTTAAAACAATGCTTAAATGATATATGTAAATGAATTGTTCAGTTTACTATTGTTTGGTTTATTAAATGAAAAGTTTAAACATAGAATGATCCTGAATAATGATAGAATTCATTATTCAGAAAGATTTCGAACAATTATTCATTATTCTGAATGCCCATCTCTGCTTTCAATTGTGTCTCTTTCTAAGATGCGTATTTTAGCTCCTTGCATGCCACAAGCCTTTTATAGGCAGAAATTGGCATCTCTTTAAGCGTAGGTACCAATAAAGAAATCTTCTCATAGCTTACTTAAGCTTGACTTGAACTTAAGATATTCAAAGTGTTACCATTTTATTTTCAATCGCAAAAAAATTTAATTAAACACCTTTGACTAAGTTGGCTTTTGCATATTTTTAGCTGAGAAATTTAATTAGTTTTAAGCATAGAAATTTTTATTTAACAGGGAAATTGAAGCCTATGAGTAATACGTATTAATCAATAAAAGAAAAGTAAGAATAACCTAAATAAAATATATATAGTTTGTTTCATTTAAAGAAAAAAATTTAACTCATTTACAGTTGGAATAAATTTTAGATGGATATCATCACCTACAAAGAGTAAGTTGAAGTATACGAGGAATAGGAACATTTTTTTTTTCATTTAAAAGCAAATTCCAAAAAGTTTAAGACATAACTTCTCAATCGAAAAACATTAGCTACTAAAATTAAAGAAGAAAATTTTTATAAAGCTACTTTCATTTTTTAAGCTAATAAAGTTCCTCAAATCCCAAATGTTAACTATTTTTTTCATGGAATAAATATGAATTCTCAAAAAAATAATAAAAACTAAATTTATAGAGAAGGATCTTACAATGGACATTGCTTATTCTGAGATTTTTGAATATTATTACATTGTCTACATCATCGAAATATTACATGGCTAAATTTAATGTCGAGACTTCTAAATAAAATTAATTCTAACGATTATAATAATCATGACATCTATAACATTTAAATAATGTTTTCAGACAAACTGGCTCCTAATTTTGCCTTATACAATTTTTATTTATATATTTTGTTTCATAAATCAGTTTTCGTTTGGCTATGTTTGTGCGATTCTTGCTCCTAGTTGAAAAGAAATCTACCAAGTTCAAGGGTTATTTACACTGTAGCTAATTGCCTAGCACGCATACGTGAATGATTAATTACACGCGGTGAGAATGCTTTCAAAAAATTCGCGGATGTGCTTGATATCTTAGTTGAGGAAACAAACTTATCAGCAAAAGTTTTCCAATTAGGTTCTCTCTTGCTTTCCTTCGCGTCCGCCGCGTGCAGGTCGTCGGGCTACCGAAGCAGGGGAGCCATCCCCTCTGCAGAGGATCAAAATTGTGATGGCATGTCTTCGGATCATCCTCAGGGATGTTTCCCAGACCGTCGCCAATAGCCCATTGTGCAGTTCTAGTGCGACGTAAATGAATTACAACAACAACTCTTGCATCTTCAAATTTTTATCTATGAACTTTTTGCATGGAATGAGATTGTAACGCTTAAGTACGCCCTCTAGCGGGAGCCAGAAAATATCAGGCATTTATTTATTAAGTTTTCATTTAGTTCTATCATAATCATTGGCAGAGTCGGATGCCATTTTCTTAGTAGCAAATAAGAAGCATAATTTCCCATAGGAAAAGGCAGTAGAACTTGAAAAAACTAACCAGAGCATTGGTAAATCTTTTTGAAACAGAAACAGAACACGCCAAACATTTGAAGAACAACTTCTCAATAATCTTTACCTTTCCATTATTAACAAGCTTGCAACCGATAATTTCCATTTTCGTGATCGCATACTGTTACAGATGTGTGTTCAATTCATTACAAATTAAAGTGGAGTCAACATTGCTTAGTTTATTTCAATGAATAAATGTGACTTCAGAACGTGCAGAACTGTCACAGTTTATAGAATCTATATATATATTTCTCTTACACGGCACCAAAAAAAAAGCCTCATTACAACTCCCCGAATGGCAACGTTAAAAAATCGACCAATGATTACTGCTAAAAATGTCACATGGCAAATCTAGGTGAGGTGGCTCAACATATAGCGCTTTTAAAAACGGAAACAATAACCAGAGTGAGCATTATCAGGTTGTTCAATTCAGATTCATGCCCTAAAAACATGATAATATTTAATTTAAACTCAATTAGGAATTAATTAAGCTGGCCTTCTCCATGACTATAAATAAGTCACAAGGTCAGACTTTTGAGAAAATCAGTTTAGTATTGACTAAACAAGTTTTTAGTCATGGACAACTTTATGTTGGCCTGTCAAGAGTTAAGTCATTTGACAGCCTTTCAGTAATTGCTCCAAGATGCCAAATCTATAATTGTGTTTTCAAAGAAATTCTAAATGCTTAGTGTTAATTTCTTAGAGCTTTGCAGAAAAAAATGTTTTTTGGAAAAAATTTAATTGAAACTTCTATTGGCAGTAGGCAAGGGGAACTGCCAAAATCAAAACTCCCCGATTAGAAATGCAGCATGGCGACCTCCACGTGGTATTTCTCGGGTAATGCTAACAGCCATGCATTTTAATTTATTGTATGTAAAACATCCTTATTTTGTTCTAAAATGTTATGTACTTTATCACAAATGTTAATTAATATAGAAATTGATTTCAATAATGCTGATCACCAAAAAATATTTCATTTGGCGATAAAACAAATTTTTGTGTTCTTGAAAATGAAAGACTTTTTGAGGGTTATTATCTCACAAGGAAAAGTTAGGGTTTAAAGTTTATATTTTTAAATAATAAAATTTTTTTCTAAAACTTTCAGAATTTCTAGCATTAACTAATTTATTATACACATTTAGTTGAATTTAGGTGAGTAACTGCAATATTTGATAATTTATTTTGCTAATATGTTTCTCATTTAGCTAATGTTTTGATTTTTTCACCATGTACAATCTAAATAGCTAATATACTTTTTTAAAAGCCAATAAGAACATTGATAGAATTCTTCTACATAAGTACAATACTATGTCTTTGATGATAAAATACTATGTCTTTGATGATAATATACTCTGTCTTAGTGCTGGAACATTGTGTTCATTGGTGAGCGAGCGCAGCGAGCCATGGTTCACGGCATGAGCCACATAGGATTGCGTAGCAATTCTCGGGGGTTGGCGAGAGTTAGCGAGCAGGGGGCGGAGCCTCCTAGTACTACATATTTTTCTGAATCTATATAATTTGGAAAACAACAATAAAGAATCATCCGAATTACTTGAAATAATATTATTTATGTTGATTATTAATAAATTTTCATCGTTTTTTTTAGTAAGTATTTTATAGTTTTGAATGATAAATTTCAACTAGAATTCAGTGAATGTCATGTTAAAGTAACGAAGGGATAATCTATGTATATACCATTTTGGAATAAAGTTTTCAAAAAGAACATATCATTTTGGAATTCTCCGAATTTATAAATCAGGTAAGTGCTATGATTTTTATAATAAAATATTTTGCTGTAAATAATTTTTTTTTTCTTATTTGGGGATAATTTTCTGTAAAACGGTTTCCTACGTCCGATTATAAATTTTTAAAAAGGCGAGAAAGTCTTTTATTTTAGTTTGAAAAATTTTTAGAATCGATTTTTTTTTTTTCGTAAGCATACTTTATTTTACGTTTTTTAGTATTAGATAATGATTTTTATTGAAATTAAAATTTTTTGATAAAAATTGTTGTCAAAAACTTTTTTCTTGCAAAACTAAATTACATAAAATTATGAGCTTATGTATACTTTTGGCTTATTTTAATGTTTGAAGTAATATGATTCTTAAAACTATGGAATGTAAAGTTTAAATAGGCCTTTCATGTTACATAAATAAATTTAGTAAAATGATTTTTCAGGTTTTAACTCTTATAAGAAGATACGTATTTTTTTCCTGTTCGTTTACAAATATTTCACGATGTGTTTTGGATGTTTCTTCTCTAAAAAAGAAGAGATACCATTTTGCTTTCGCTTGCATAAGAAAGAATATCAAACATTTTTCTCTTTTAAATTTAATGTGTCACAATAAAGAAGGAACGTTACAATGCTACGCGCTATATTAAAGACGTCTCCGCAACTGAATGACTGTTCATATGGAAATAGTAGAAATTCGTCTCCTACAACAAAGTCCTCTACAGTTCGTTGCGATCGCGAATAGCCCTTTAAGCATGGTACGTCACTCAGGTAGTTCCCATCACAATTTTCGATCCGCTGCAGAGGAAATCTTATTATTAGTGAGGCCAATTCCTCAATGTAGCATAAATTTGAAGGAGAAAGAATTTTTTCCCAAATCCCTGAACACAAGACTTTCGATTCCACAAATTTTACGAGCACGTATATAATATGTAATTGATGGGTCTTAGAGATGTCAATGATTGAACTCCAGCCCCTCCGAACTGGAGTCCGATTCATAAGCAACTGAGCTATCACGGCCCGCAGCGTCATTCAGAGAGAGATAGGAGAGTAAGTACTATATTTACGTTACACTAAAACTCTTTACTGTCTATACTTTTAGTACCTAATGTGCAGCTCTAGTGCGACGTATGGATGGGTGGTCTAATGTAAACAATAACAAGCGTCCTTAAACCGGAAGAAATTTAGAAAATTTCCGGTGTATCCCTCCGCTTATGTTATGACTACGAGGCGATGTGTGAACAAGCCAAATATTCTATGCAGTTTTGTTATTGTAATTTGGGCTCAAATCTAAACATAATTGTACCATTCATAAGAGCTTTCAGAAATGTATTGATTCTCAGAGGTCGTAAGGCCAAAAAAAATTTTGGAAAGTTAATATCTCATTGTGAATAATTCTTGAGGTTTGCCATGTTTAGTATTTTATCCCTTATTTGGCTACATTTGAATAAAATGTCGCCAAAAATATCTTTAAAAATATCTTTTTAAGTTAGACTAATTTGAAAATATTCTAATGATTATAATATTAATATGTTAATGCTGAAGTTTAAAGGCTGAAAGAAAGCACTCGGTACATGTGAAATACTGCAAAAGATATGATGCAATAATATGGTGGCGCGTTTTTTCAATCTGCGGCGTAAAAATATATCGGAAGCAGTAACCCGGAAGTCT